CGATGGCAAACACCGGGGGGGGCAGCTTGTTTTACAACGTCGTTGCCAAGCGACGAAAAACCAACCCCGATGGTAAACACCGGGGGGGAAGGGAGGGGAGAAACATAAACGAAGCAGTCAGTGAATTGCAGCGGAGGTGGGGACGAATTCGCGCGACGAAAACAGCAGAAATTTTGCAAAAGCATCAGAACATGTTTGGGGCACAGAATGGGGAATCAGCAGTAATAAGTACGAATGTACAAGGAAGAGTTGTGCATTGTTTTTTCGGAGGGGAGCTCTCCGCACGCGCGAGGCCTCGCAGAGTAGTTTGTGTGGGGAACATCTGCTATAAACACTTCCAGAATGCACACCTTCGACTTCTCGGCATGGCCCGGGCCACGGAATCGTCATGCGGCGGCCGGCACTTCAACAGGACAACCCCACAACCGTGATCAAACCCAACAACATCGACAACATCGACAACAACGACAACAACGACAACAACGACAACAACAACATTGACCGTGGTAACTACAACAACGACAAAAATACCTGACAACTTCGGCGTTCATTTCGTCTCCGGCGGGCCCTGACTCAGTCGCCGCCGGCTGGTCAAGGGTTTTCCTAGCCTTGGCAATGTCTCCCAGCCGTAGCATTTCCTCCGTCATCTCCGTCGCTGTGGTTATCGGTGGTTATCGTGTCGTATCATATCGTAATATACGATACACATGTCGTATCTTCTCATGTCATATCGTTTCGTATCATATCGTACTGTACCGTATCGCCGTACCGTTTCTTATCGTATCGTATCTTACCACATTGCATCCTCTCGTTTCGTATCATATCGTATTGTATCATGAATCATACAATACATCATGTCGTGTCATATCGCATCGTATCATATCGTTTCGTACCATACCGTATCATGTCGTATCATACCTTACCACATTGCATCGTATCGTATCGTATCATATAGTCTCACACCATACCATATCGTATCATGTATCGGATCATATCGCACACGCACAAGAGGCACGGAACGACATACGAATACTTCATCGACACGTATATCCTATCATTTTACACGATTTGGGGTTAGGTGGAGAAACATTTTGAGTCTGCTGCTGTAGTCTGAGAAGGCTAGCTTCACTTCCGGCAGAGACTGCGATTGGAGCCGGCGCCTCGGGTCGAGCCTGTGTACATTGTGACTCGTACGGGGAGGATCAGGGGGTTGCGGTCCGAATGTTTCGAGAGTTACGCGGTTGACTTTAGGTGCAAGTCACGCGCCACGTCACCACCGCTCTGACTTACTACACTCGACGATTCGATGGGACAAAGTCTACCGCGGTCCGTTGTTTTGTGGGATATTCGGAAGCTACGGTGTGAAGCTTCGACAACAGCCAGACGTGCGAAGAGAACGATGGCAACAGAACGACAACGATCAACCGCTCGAGGAGACCACCGGCAACAGAAGGACAACGACCAACCGCTCGAAGAGACCAACGGCAAACAGCCACAACGACCAGCGGCACCAAGAGTCCACCACTCACACCTCGGCGGTTCCTGGTGATCTGGTTGCTGGGAAGGTGCCAGTGCACCTCAGGACTCGAGACGTCCGGAACTTTGTGCTTGTGCGCGTAGCAGTAGTGGTACGGGATCAGGGATTCCCTGTCCGAGTTGAGCATGACGTGCCCCCAGTACACTAGCTTCTCCGGCTGAAGGGACAACGAAACAAGATACGAGAACAAACGTGTTGGTTGTTCGGATTCTGCGAATGAACGTTGTTTAGGTGGGTAGATTATCTCGGTCTCAGCTCATCACGCCAGGCACACCTAGATTCTGCTATGAAAGGTATGCAAATGTAGCCGCCTACCATGTTTCTAGGCGGCTTTCTTGCCTAGTGCGTGAGCCAGCGTATGCACCACGAGCCTACGTTGACAGATAATGTTGCATATCAAGAGCTACACACAGATAGTTACCACAACTTACCTGATTTGACTCTTCTTTGTTACCTTAGCTCCCCACAAGTGGCTCTCTGCGCCCCGAGGTCTTGCATGCATGCATTATTGTCGCTGTTGTTGTCTTCACAAAAACTAGGCTTCCTGTCTCCGCTCAGTACCTTCTAAATAGTGTCCGTACTGGTCCAACTGACGCGGACGCCTTCCGTGGTCACAAGCCAACTAACTGCCCCACCAAAGGGGGGGTTACACCTTTCACGAAACCCAAAAAAGGCTCTGAGCTGTGGTTCTGCGGTAGGGTTGAAGCAAGCATAGCATTGAATGGATGGATTCCTCTCACCAGTCCCGAGTGGTGAGACATGCACCATGGGTGGAAGTGGTTCCTGCACCCGTCCGCCAGGCATCGCTGCACCTTGTTCCTGCAATGCGGCAACAATGATGACGAAGACGGCGACATCAACAGCAACAACAAAGGCAACGACGACGATATCGACATCAACACCACCAATACCAATACCAACGCCAACAACAGCGGCAGCAAGAAAGAGAGGCAAGTGCCAGTCATGCCCACACCGCGAACGGGTGACCTAATGTCGCTTCCCTCACCCCTACGACCAAATACCAATCATCTCACATGAGACTGCTATAAAAACAACCTCTCTCATCCCTCGTCCGTACCCGTAGCAAAAACGGAAAAAACGCACAGACCAGGGCATATATGGTTCTTGGCGTGGGCACAAACCACTGTGCCTCGGTGTGGTTCTCCTTCGCAATTCTCAACAGCACAGAACGTACGGTGGATGCCATTCGTAAGTCTACCGACCCACGGACCACTGTCGTAGGCCCGGCCTTCCATGATCGCGCCTTATTGACGGCAAACACTTCACACGTCGGTAAGGCATGCTCACTCACGGTTTGTTGCAGATGATGCAGTTCGAGCACGTGTGCGGGTTGCACGTATCGCACTTCTCGGGCACCGGGATGACGGACATGTCCATGTTCTCGTGCTGGTCCGGATCCATCTGTCGTAGATTTCGTACAAGTCGTACATGTCGTAGATGTTGGACATTTCGTAGATGCGGTAGACGGTGCAACGTCAACGCAGGAATAGTCAGAACCCACGCAGCGGTCGGTACCTATCCTACAGCAGCCAAAATTCAAGGACTAGCAACAGAGTCGTCGTAAGCATTTATCCAAAATGTTAAATTCAATAGGTGGAGAAGTATTTCTAGCAGCAGCATGGTGGAGTAGGAACACACGCGCGTGTATCAAAATATGGTACCGGTATCAAGTATGCGGTATCATGGAATTTATTGCTGTCTTACCTTACGTTGTGGCGACAAGAACACAACACAACACAAGGACAAAATCATTCCCAGCACCAACAGCAACGGTGGTCGACGTAGAACTGCAAGCGCGCAGAAAACGTTAACGAGGTACAAGGTCGAGGTCCCACAAAAAAGTAGTGCAATCGGTGGTGCCGATAGTGTAGGCGGCCACTACCGCCACCATTTTACTTGAGCTCAGGCCACGACAGCACAGCGAAGCTCGACCAAAGCTATCAAGTTCTGTACGCACACCTTGAGCAGCCAAGAGCTGCAGTGGCCGTGCACCCACTTCCCGTCGGAGGTTAAGGCCAGAGCAGACACGCCTTTGAAAGGGCACAGCTCGCACTGCAGGGCCGTGGTGGGCGGAAGGTCGTGCGAACACGCCCTGCAAAACCTGCCGTTCCAAAACCCACAAAACAGTTACGCCAACCATCGATGCCAACGGGAACGGAGGGTGGCGCAAGTCAACGCGCAGCGGTGCTGGTCATGACGAATTCGGTCTACGGGAAGCGTTGTACGTATAGTTCTCCAAACGTCCATGTTCTAGAGCTAGCTGTACCACAGCAGCACCAGGAACGAGGTATTGGTGTGGTGTATTGATCGACGTAAAAGTTTGTACCGTCAAGTTGGGGTCGATTGTGAAACTGTCGGCAACAGACACTAGATAAGTTTCCGTGTAAACGGCGTTATTAGGGGGAAAGCGCTGGCTCCTGCAAGCGAGGGTGGGCATCTACATACTTGCTTGTCCGCTTATTATAGTCGGTAAGCGCTACTATGCAAATGAACGAATTACGCACCGCGGGGCCCCTCGAGGAAGGCAACGACACCAAGCCTGTACACAAGCTGGCACATGGGGATACATGCCCCTCGCGCAGAAATCTGCACGTGACGACTTGGATCTCGTAGGTTCGATACGTGAGATACCACACGCCCCGGGCCGACTACCAAAAACCACTCTCTCCACGACGAAGAGGATGTCACCAAGCAAGTTATACTTCCCGTCCCGGCTTTGTAGGGATGCGGGGTCAATGGTAAAAAGTACGTTTTTGGAAAGCTCTCGGCAAGATGATTCCAATGGCAGTCCGATGCGGTCGCTACGTTTTGCCACAGGTTGATGGAGCTTTGGCAACCTGACGCGGGGGGGGGTGGAACCCGGTCCTCACCAGTCGCCGTTCTTGTTCAGGACGGTGATGCCGTAGCAGTTTTGGTGTACGACCACCGGGCAGCCGCTGCAGGCCACGATGTCGTTATCGTCGAACGGCATGTCGTAGCCGCACACGCAACACCGCTTTTTTTTCGTCGTTGGCGGTGGTGATGGTGATGGTGTGATTGGTTAGCCAACAAGGGGCGGCACACACGCACGTACGTCAGCAGAGGAGGGAAAGAACGACAGTCAATTTGTGGCTCCTTAACGATTACGCGGTGCGAGACGATGCGTGAGCTTCAACACAAGGCGGCCGCCATCCGCAGAGCACCGACGTCTCTTCGTACTGTCCAAGTTGGGGGTCGAAGCTGGGCTCGGCAGCGCGTGATTCCTGTTGTCCATGGAGCGTTTCTCCGAAAACGAACAGCAGTCGACACGAAGAATAGAAGTGCCGGAGGATGCACAGAAAATCAACCTTGGACACCTTTGCACCATGTGAGAGCGACACAGGTATCTCTTACACAACCAACCGCCGATCGTACAATATGACGTGTGACACGTGCAAATATTAAGGTATGTTGTGCTTCAATGTGATCAAGATTTTGTGACCAAAGCAGGTCGGTGCCGGCACGCGGGACGACAGCTCCGCGAAAACACGAAAACAAATTGTGTTGTTAGCCCACGGCCCTGTTGGTTAGTTGGGGTACATGTAGCAGGACTTTCACCCTCATTTTTTAATTTTTCCGTGCTGGCGAAAGCTTGCCAGCGGCGCCGTGAGGAGAAAAACGAGGTACTTACAGACTTCATGCATACAAAAAGTCGCGAGAGGGTACTACAGCAGTACTACGTACAGTTGCCCATCCCTTTGGAAGCGGGTATCAACTATCATAGGGTACGGAGATTTGACATATCGATGCCGCTGCTAGCCATGTAACTACTATATACGTATGCGTATGTCGCAAGTTATCCCTCCCGCCGGCCACAACTGCAGCAGTTTTTCCACTGGTACTACATACCTTCGACAATTCACTTAGTACCAGTGGATTGACTGCTAGTATTTTGTGATACATGAGTCACCTGAGTGGCAGTCAACGTTCATCTGTGTGAGCGTTGCATCTATTGTTGAAGACAGCGGCAGCAGCGAAAGGTCTATGTGTGATTTCGCGATCAGTACTGCTTTTACGTATACATGCAGCACACCCATGTTGATACAGCAGCTGTTCGCTCTCACCAGATCGTCTTCATCATCGTAGCCAGTTTCTGATAACGGAGGTGGGAGGCTTTGTGCCTGCCCCTCGGCTGTGGCACTGCCGTTGTTGGGAGCCATCTCCGGTAACCCTCTGTCTCTTTCTCTGACTCTGCCGTTGGTGTGAGACGTGAGACACCAGTCCCCACGAGACTGTGCGGGCGGGAGACCTTGGGGACCCTACAGATGTGAAACCCTATACAGAGGTATGCATTGACGCTGACTCTACTGTTCGTGCAACCCCCTCCGACCTTGTCTTGTCCAAAAAGCAGATGGCAGGAGAGATTAGAGAGCGACACAGACCGCACGCGGTGTCTGCGACAAGTCCGGGTCGGAAATTAACAGGTGGACCATTTCCGACGGCGGTGGTGTCTGTTTCTGCTTCCACCGAAAAGAAAATGAGTTCAACTGTAGACCTAAACACAAGAAAAAACAGTTGTGCAAGATCGTCCTGCCACCGAGGAAGATTAAATCCAACATGTGGAGTAGCTATTCTTACAGCGGGGAAAATGCACTAAACAAGCAGTTCAGGTTTTCCGTGGGGAGCGGTCTGCCGGCTTTTTGAGCTTCTTGCCCATTCCGTAAACCGTTCGTGTAATCGGCAACCTAGAGGTAGGCTTCGGAAAGCCAAACGAGGGAGGCTGGTACGAACGAACTCCTTCGCTGTGTGTGTGGCAAGTATGGTTCCCTTGCGAGATGTCAACAGTTCCCGGTTTGCTTGTCGAGCTGTCTTTTCGAAGTGCACATTTACTGCCTTCCACTAACAAAAACTCCAAAAAACAAGTTCAATCCAGTTCTCAAACAGTTAAAACTCCTCTCGGCGTGGGTATTTGACAACATGTGATTATCACCAGTATCGACTTAAACCTCAGCCCAGAACGAAGTTTTAAGCGTTATCTGCGAACACCCGGCAACAAAAGAAACTACTCACAACGCCCCCCGTACGTGCAGGCCCATGCAGATGACAACAAAACATCATCAGCGGCAGCAGCGTGCAAATCAATTTCGTGGAACAAGCTAATCCATTACTTCATTAACTTTCAAACCACGGTCAAAACCATCGGAGGGTGCGTCGCTCTCCTGCCCCCAACATCCCAGATACATCCATCCTGGAACGCCAGACACCCCTTCCTTGCAGTTCGTCTTAATAATTACTATATACATTCCAGAACAAACCCGTCCCGTTGTAAACACCGTGGAAACCCACTCAGCGTCCATAAGACGGAGATCGACACATCATGGCCGACAAGAAAAGGTAGACAAAACGGGTGCGACAAGAAAGGGTATCGCGGAAACAACAACAAACAACGGCTCAAATTCGCCCGAAAGTTGCCGATTCAGACTGGCCCACCAAACCCCTACCGGACAACAACTTGCTGCTGTCATCCCAGGATCCTCTTCTACCCCGCCGCCCCCACCCGTACCCTCGCATACCCCTTCCGCTGCCCCCTGCACCGTTACCGTTGGTGCTACAGTCGTCGTCGTCGCTTTCGTCGCTCTCTTGCGCTGTCGCCGTCGCTGAGGGTGCCGGTGTTCCGTCTTCCGTGGGGCTTTGGTAGCGGTAGCGCTTGGCGACGGCTACGAATACCAACAAGCTGTCGTCGTAGTAGCCGTTGTTGCCGTTTGTTGTTGTTGTTGTTGTTGTTGTTGTTGTTGCCGTTGTTGTTGTTGGTGGTGGTGGTGTCGGTGGTGTCGGTGATGATGTTGCAGAGTGTTGGGAAGCGAGACAGGAGCGACACACGTTCGTTGGTTCGCTGCAATCGAGGAGAGGGAGGGACGAAAAACCGAACCAAACAAAATCATTCGTTCCAAGGCGGGCAACACTGGTTGCTCTTTTTTTGTCCGTGTTTCTTCCAAAATTGAAACCGTTCCGTTAGCTGACTCCAGCAGAGTGCTGCCGCTGCTGCAGCATCAACATAGTCACTTGCTGCGAGCGTATACAACCACAAGCATGATGACGAAGCCCACCTTATTGCAACGAGCCCCGCAAGAACACAAAAGTAGAGCTCTAAACGCCCGTCGTTCAGATCGTCCGTAACCCAGGGTGACCCGAAGGCCCCGGAGTTAACCTGCAATAAGAATGCCATTAACCGGGGGGGAGGAGAGGGGGGGGCGATAGGTCAACCTCCATAAGCATGCTCAGTATCATTCAACAGGGGGGGGGATCCGCGGAGATAATCTGCCAAAACGTATCATTCCCCGGGGGGATCCGCAGAGTCAACCTGCACATGTAGCCATAAACAGGGGGAGATCCGAACGATAGAATAACCAAAAAGTGCATCAATTCCATCAGGTCCAGCACCAAAAGGCACCGGGGTGGGTCGCGTAGGTCACTAGGGCGGGGTACTGCTGTAAAGAGAGACAGAGGGACACGTTAGATCGATCCTCCTGCACGTGTGCTTGGAGGGAACGAGAACAAAAACACACACACACAATTCCCCCTGTGATCCTAAACGGGATCCATACCCACACAAAGGAATAAACAAATGAATCTCTTACCTGGCCGCCAGCCACGGGGCAGCACGGCGGCGAGAACACACTACTTTGGGAGCGGATTGGACGAAACCGAAACCAGACTCGATATGGCAGCTGCTGACGAAAAACACTCATGAAAAACGAGCATCGGGATTCTTTCTGTCTTGGCAACGCTCCAGAAACTGACGTGCAATCGAGATCATCCGGTCGTCCCCTGAGTTGTGTGGCAACCAGATGATCTCGAGAAATGGAAAAAAGTATGTCATGTCTGTTTGAGGCACACACCCCTCACCAAAGACAAGAGCGGCACCGTGACCCAGCTCCCCAAGGCGGTGGTGAGCAGGTTAAGACCGGCAGACACGCCTCGCACTGTGGTGGGGGCCTCGGCGTAGAAGAACTCTAACGACGTTACCGCCGACAGAATCTCCGACGTGCCGATCAAGAGGTACTGAGGCACCTGCAGTGTTGTGGAAAGGAAAGGAAAAGCACCGGAATACATTGCTCGTTTTGGAAATTAGTTAACAACACCCCCAAGCGGGGGGAGGGACGTGGGACAACACAAAAAGGTCCCTCCCTGTGCAACCTTCCCCCTGTGTGGCCTAGGCTGATACATGCGTCAGTTTATCCCGAAAGAAGGAGCAAACTGGCGCCAGAGTAGATGGTACGCAAACACACAAAAGGCCAACAACACAGCAATGTTGTAATGTGTGTCACATGACCGTCACAACACCTCCGTTATGCTTGATGACGTTCAGTGCGTTCTCTTTTCGTCATCCCAAATGTTGCCGGTCGCTCGCAGCCTCTGCTTGCTTCAACGAACGGTCTTGTGTACCTCTCCTTCTGAAGAGCTACTACCCGAGGTTGAGCCACATAGAAAAGTTGCTTTGTGGCGAAAGTTTCAATCATTCATCATCGCGGGAAGGGTTCAGGAGTCCCGTTTCTCAAGGTCTAGTCTACCGATCAACAAGCGCCAATACAAAATGCACGGGGACGGCATATGCTCACAACTGATATTGTCATCCACAACTGCGAAAACGTTTTCCAAACTGCAACAAGGGGACAAAGCTCATCTGGTATTAGCTTCATGAGATGAAACCACGGTCATATTCCGTTTCCGTGTAGTTGGATGAGTGCACTTAACACACCTGCCACAGGACGCTCATGGTCGACGCCAACGGGGGGGCGTCGCAGACGATGCAGCTTAGCAACAGCAAGTCGTCCGGCCCGATCTCGGTGCAGCCGGGCACCTGCACGCCGGAGCGAAGGAGGGTAGAAGTAAACGTAGATGAATAAAAAAGTATTTTGTATCTACATTGCTCGCTCAGAAGCAGCGGCAGGGTCCGCAGCACGCACAGCAGTAGGAGAGTAACAGCGAACGTAATTTAGTAGATAGAGTCTCTCAATGGTTACCCGCTTAGTAGGGCACGCAGCACACACAGCGTTGTAAGCAGCGGCAGGAGTACAAAACAGAACCGGTTGGGGTACACGTGAGTTGCACCGCACTGCGCTACACTTGGAAGTATAACAGCCGTTGTACAAAGATAACAGTCCACGTCGCACTGATCACCTGCTCTCGGAATGCACTACACGATCACCTCCTCGCCGCAACCGTGGTCCCTCCAGCAGCAGCGGTGCAATCACAACCTTGTCGAGACGGCCACTACGGGAGCTCATAACCACAAGCGCAGTAAAAAACGAAACGACGAGGCTAGGCCACCAAGCCGACCACGCTTGACGAATGCATACCTGATGGCAGTAGGCCGGACGGTGCGCCGTCGCCGTTGCTCGATTCCGCGTGTTGAAATACTCCTGGAACTGCTCTGGGTCGTAGTCCCGAGCCCTTGCATCAATCAAGCAAGCAAAATACCATCACGCGAGGCGGGGCGGAACGAGGGGGGAGGGGGGTAGTCATGCTTTGGATGCCTTCACGGTTAGATCGGGTGGGGGGGGGTGTACTCTTACGTTTTCCATGCCGTACTTGTGAGACCATTGACTACGAGAGGACGGAGCGTTGTTCCCACAGGACTGATCACCGATGATGGCCAATCGTTCTTCCTGCTTTGCCAAAGGTGG